CCCCAAAACCCCAAAACCCCAAAACCCCAAAACCCCAAAACCCCTAAATCTCTCCTCCTAAATTAATAAAAATTATATCAGAGAGAACATGGGTAAGCCCTTGGATAGCCAATTAGGTTCTTTTAAGCCAATTTTATGCAAAAGTTAATGCACTATATTATTCCAGTCATAAACCAGTCCTCCGGGCGGGGAGTGCCAAATGTTTTGTATCTTCTCATGGATTTGTGCAATAACACCCGGCAATCTCTCATTAGTGACTTTGTACATCGATTAGTTAAGAATTAACATATAGGGAATAATGTAAGCGACTTGAAGAAAGGCGAAATGGAAATCAAGATATTCTTCCACTTTGAAAAACTTATTGAGAAATGTTATGCACTGAAGGAAGAAATGAAAAACGGCACTGTACGGAAGACTATCACCAGCAATTCCCAGCTCTTGAAGCTTGTTGAAGATGAAGAGCTGAATCAGTCTCTCCTAGATTGCACACTTGAAGAGGTAGACACTGTTTCTAGGAGTGTCCAATATGACCTCCGAAGGAAGCTCAGCTTCTTCAAGATGATTGTTAAAAGAAAGGAGACTACTGGAGAGCTATTCAACAGAGTTCAAAAGTATGTGCATATGATAGAACTTTATCACATTAACCTCCACTCTAATCTTACTGATATTGATGACAAGGTTAAGAAGACTTGGGAAAATGCCTCCTCTCACGAAGGCGAAGACCATAATGTATCTATTACTGGCTCTATTGAGGAACACAAGGACTTTACCATTAAGAAGTTGATCCAGAGCAATATTGACAAGAATAAATTTGGGTAAGTTCAACACCATATTGAGGTAGAATCTGACCTATCTCGGCCAAATTCTTCTCTTTTTAAATATTCGCTCGAGATTACAGGTTTTCATATTGGTTCTCTAGGGTTGGTGCCATACAATGATTCCCGAGGCTGAACTGTAAGATCATCGGGCTACGAAGCGTCAAAGGAATGGATGGAGTCGACTTCATGCTCAATAAAAAGGAAGTGCGCCTTACTTATCTCAAGCAAGATGACGCTCTTGAGGCTCTCTGGTTGGACGCAGAGAATTATTCGTCAATTGTAAGGTGTTTTGAGAAAATTTGTTCTAGGATTTCAAAGTTTAATACAGTTTTGGTGTTTTAATCGTCGCCCTAGAGTCTAACCTTGTAATAGAATTCTATCATTAATGGGCAGAATAGATGCGAAATTATCAAAACTATTGGAAAAGGAGGGTTCTCATTGGTGTATCTTATAAGGAACTATAAGTTATCGAAGAATAGGATAGGCTTTGGCTCCAGACTTATCACCTTGGCAGCATCCCCTGGAGGGAATAAGGACCCAGAGTTTAATAAGTTCAGTAGAGCAGTTGAAGCTACAGCTTTTGCTAAGAGCCAGAGTGCATATAGTCATGATACTCATTCAACTGCTATTTATGCTCTAAAGTCGATGGATAAGGCTCTGATCTCACAGTTTAAGCAAGCTGATCACGTAATGAACGAGAAGGAAATTCTGAGTGCATTAGATCATCCTTTTATAATGAAGATGCATTATTCCTTCTCTACAAAGAATTACTTGAATCTTGTTCTAGATTTTTGCCCAGGAGGGGAGCTATTCTTCCACATTTCCAAGCACAAACAGTTCTCTGAAGGGATGGCAAAGTTCTATATTGCCGAGGTTATCTTGGCCATTGAGCATCTACATGACAAAAATATCCTATATAGGGACTTGAAGCCAGAAAATGTCCTGATTGATTACGATGGGCATATAAAACTGACAGATTTCGGCCTCTCTGCGATGAACTTCGGCAAGCACTCCACAGCAGACATTTTCTGTGGAAGTCCTGAATACATGCCCCCAGAGATGATCCTCAGGATGAGATACAACAGAATGATAGATTTCTACGCGATTGGTGCCTTGCTTTATGAAATGATTTCTGGAATTCCCCCGTTTTATTCAGCTAAGAGGAAAGAACTTTTCCATAACATTATCACTAGGGATGTGAAATTCTACAATGAGTACTCCTCAGCTGTAAAAGATCTCATCCGGAGACTCCTAACCAAGGACTTCACGAAGAGGCTAGGCTGAAAGCACGGGATGGTTGAGGTTAAGAGCCACCCTTTCTTCGCAGAAGTTAACTGGAAAAAGCTTGAGATGAAAAAGATCCCTCCACCTTATAAGCCTTCTATGAGAGAAATGAACTTTTCAAGCGAGTTTACTTCGATTCCTGTTACTTTCAACTTTGAAGAAGAGATTATGAGGAATGAGAGAAGGCTTAGTGAGAATAAAAGCCAGTTGGCTCAGACTCCAGCAGCCAGACAAGCATCTGATCTGAAGCAATCTCTCAATGAGATTTTGAATACTCCTCATGAAAGTAATAATAAAAGAACATTTAAATCAAAACGAAAGTACTCAGATCCTGACAAAAGGATCAGCCAAGCTATGGGCCTCATGAAGGTGTCATGAGCTGAGCTAGACAATTCGATTTGCTTTGACAATAGCATATCTGACCTTTCCCAGAACGAGGAAGAGAAGTATTACTCAGACCGTAAGTTTTTGGTTGATTTTGGTTTAGAGTTTTCCAAATTTGAGCTACCCAAGAGGTCAGATAAGAAGGCTACATTTGTGAAGCCCCAAGCGAGTATGATCCAAGAAGCCTCTGCTGCAGGTATTTTCACTGTTTTAGCTTTTAAATAGATGACTTGCCCTTTTCGGAAGTTGACTATGAGTCTCCAGAGGTATACAGAAAAGCTCAGATCCAGGCTAAGTTTAGAAACTCTGTTAGAGTATCTAAAGAGGAGAGGGAGAGAATTTCTTCAGTCAATTTTGGAGATTATCAGCAGGAATTCCAGAAGAGGCCCTCCAGGTCTATCGGTCCTTCAGCTGGCATTGATATCACTGATTTGTTCGCTAATGCTGTGATATCAGAGAGAGTTAGGAAGGATCCAAGGGAGATCGAGAATCGTGACTTCAAATCAAGATCGAACAGCATCAAGCTATTTGAGGTAGTACAAGAAAGGCTCTCTGAAGAGTCAAATGATGATTGCAATGTTGAGGTTGAAGATGACGATGATGACACATATGTTAATCATACCAGATCAATCCCTGTTAAAGCCCAGAGAAAATCTGAAGAGAGCGCTAGTCATCCAAGCTTTCTTTGTAACTCTAAGTTCACTCATTTGGTCACAATGATGGACACTCTGCATGCTGAAGATGGAAAGAGTGACGAAGATCTGGAAGACACCTTTGAAATGCCAGATCCTCAATCTGGAGTAATGATTGGCCTTCATGTATAGAATTATGATCCGAATTTTCAACTTTCGAATGTAGCTTACCTAGTGAGGGAATCAAAAGCTAAGCTGTGCAGTCCTAAGAACTTGGTAACTTTGGTCGATAAATTTATAGAACAAAACCCTTCATCCAGGCTCGCCTTCAGTGTCAAGTTTTGCATCGTAAGGGATGGCATAATTTATCTAGTCCGGGCAAATGTAGGAAGCTTTTAATTAACCATTCTTTGTCAAACCCAGAGGAAGTCCAAGAAGAATATGGGGTTAGAAACAACATCTCATCTCTATTCCCTTCTATTTGAGAGGAATATTCAGAACAAGATAAACCTAAGAGCGTTGCTAGAGAATCTTGCACTCAAGGGAAATTTAGCCATGTGAAGCTATTCGAGGCCTCTCCAAAAGCGCCTTCTAAGTGGGATGACTCTGTTAGAGAAGACACTAGTCCAGGTGAGGCCTGCTTTCAATATGTAGGTATTCCTCAGGAGGTTCATAAATTTAAGTTAAGCAACTCAGATTCTAGAGAGAAGACATATTTCAAGCTCTCTGCTCGGAAGCATTATTACTCTGGTATAAAGATGACTGAGATGGGCAAGGTTAACAAATTCCTTCAATGCAAGTTTTAGTTTTAATTTGTAGATAAACATGAGCTAAATACTACTTCAAAGTAAGTTATAGCTACTATTTTAGGAAGAAAAGTCGGGTAAAGAATCAGCTATCTCATAATATTCCATACAAAGCAAGTTTCTGAGGGAGGAAAAACCCTTATGAAGTTCATAGTGATTTGTCTTTGACCAATAAGGGCAAGAAGGATAACAAGAATTTATCAATTTTGTCAATAAATTCCCAATCGATGACCTCATGCAAGAGGAATCTTAAGACAAAATTATTGTCAACACTGCCTTTAACAACTCGAGCTGAGGGTTGCAGAACAGCTAAGAAGTATTTTAAGCTTTCCCAGAAAACGCTTGAAATGTACTGTAAGTCCGTTAGCCAAGACATGACTAAGTCTCTCTTATAGATCAAAATAGGAAGAACTATAGGGGAAAGAATAACCAAGGCAGTGTGGACTCAAGCTCAAGAGGTAGCATAAGGATAATTAATACAACTGGAAAAAAGAAGTTAATGAAGAAGTAACACCAATGTATGACCTTTGTAGATCAACATCTAACTCATACCTTCATATTACTCCTAATTTGAAGCAGCAAAAGAAGGCTGTGAACAGTGGAAAGAAGATAGAATGGAAGAAGAACTCCTTCTTGAAAAGCGGTGTGACTAGAAAACTAGAAGTCAAACTAGACTCGATGGCTAAAACAGGAAACCCACATGTCAAGATCCTTAACTAAGATTATGGGGCTGGTTATATTTTGGAAATATTTTCAGTACTTTTATATATTATCGGGGTTTTGGGGTTTTGGGGTTTTGGGGTTTTGGGG